GGATTCCAGAATTTCCAAAAGTTTGAAGGCCTGAGTTTTTCCAGACCCTTACCAGTTAGGGATGCAAAATACTCACTAAAACATCACTCAAAGTATCTCGGGCAGCTTTGTTGCTGAAAACACTTCTATGCCCAACTCCTGGCAACATCAGAGAACTTGCTGTCCTGTGCGACTTACTTAGAGGGAGTAGGGAGACACTCTCACTTTCCTCTTTAGAGGGGAGCTCAGGGGGACCTCAAACTCCTGACCGACTGGGGATCAAAGTTCAAGCTTCACACTAAAGTAGTGACAATCAAAGCAGGCCGCACATCTAATGTTCACTTCCTGAACATCCAATGTCTGCTCACCTCTCCTGGAAATCACTGACTCACATTCCTGCAAACGCAGAGTTTATTGGCATTCCCAAACGTCACTGGTTTGCAAGCTCAGATGTGCATAGAACTACTTTGGAGACTTGTTAAAAACAGAGATGTCTGAACTCCCCTCCTCTGCAGATTCTGAGATTTCGATTTGTAGGTTTGGGTGTTGTTCCCCACCACCACCAAAATTTCACTGAGAAATTTTTCTTGGTAGTAAGTTTAGCAATTTGCGACTATGACTCAGTGATCTAGCAGAAGGTTCCTTTGACATGGGCAGCGAATGAAGGAGGCAAGTACAGAGATTCTTCTCTTCCCTTAACAATCAAGAGACTCCTCTATAACAAGGATTCATTTTAATAAGGTCCTCAGGTGAGGCAGGTGCCTCTCAGAGACTGAGAACCACCATCTATGTATATGTGAAAACAAAAAAAAGAACTAGTTTTCTTAGGTTTCAGGGCAGTTCAGAGATAGAGAAAGATATCAACATATCACCTAGAGATCTTGTTAAAATATAAGACTTGGACTCAGAGGGTTTGGGGTGGGATCTAAGATACATTCCTACATTTGCAGGGATGCCGATGCTGTTGGCTCCTAGAACACACTTTAAGTGACAAGGGTTCCAAGAGCACAGGCTGGAGGGGGGGTTCCACAAACCTGGATCAAATCCTGGCTTCCCCCCCTGTACTAGCTGTGTGACACGGAGCTAGTTCCTGAACCTCTCTGGCCTGTGTTTTTAATCTGTAAAATGGGGGAGGGGGAAGGGAGAAGGGAAGACAAGTACTGAGCCCAGCTTACCGTAAGAATTGTCACAGCACGTAAGCACCTATCAGGCAAGCACTTACCACAGTTCCAAGCCCAAAGTAGGAGCATAATACATGTAACTCTTAACATTTACAAATTTACCAAGTTTTCACTTTAAGAGTTAGGCTTCTGGTCTCATGCAGAGCTGACAGAATGGCTATTTCTGGCCTGGCGCCTGCCTGGCTCGCTGCACTGCTTTGCCAAATTACAGCTTAGCTTCAACTAGGTTTTTCCAGTAATGGGCTTGAGCAGAGCAGGACGAGGCAGGGAGGACTGAGGACTCCTTATCCAGATTGTGGGGGCTCAGTGGGCAGCTCCCTACCCCACAGGGTCTGGAAATGCAGGGGTCAGAGTGGGATGAGGACATTTCTCCTCCACGGTGGTTGCTATTTCCAGTTCATGTTTATGAAATATATGTAATTCCAAGGCTTTAACAAGAGAGAGCCTTCCTTTTGTGGTTGATTTACAGAGTCCTATTTACACTCTTATTACAAGTTAGCATTCCGGGCTCTAATTCCCTCGGGGCTCCCGCGGTTCGTTCTCAGGACAGCTAGAGTTATGCGCTGGTCAAACCTGCTGACCATGTCATTCTGAGTGAGCAGACGCGGCTTCCTGGCCGCTTCCTGCCAAGGGTCTGATTGGGTTTGGAGGAGGCTAGAGCACAATCCCGCCTCTTTGAAATAGAATGCCTCTTGCTGTGGGTTGCTGCTTTAAAAACTCTGAATGCTCTGCAAGCTGGGATAGCCACAGTTTGAGAGTGAAGCCTGTCCGCAGGAGAGCCGATGACCAAGACGCCAGCATTCTTCAGTGGCCAAGGGGGTGATTATACTCAATTACGTGTTCTGGAAATTTAAAGCGACACACAGCACAGTGTTCAAACAGCAGGAAGACGCTGAGTCAATTAAGTTTTGTCACCAGCCTCCTCCCTTGTATGGAGTCACACGGGAAGCACCTCACTCCACTTTCTCTAGCCCTCTCCCCCTTTTTGAATACTGCCTGTATCTGGGGGAGGGGGGCTCGCGCTCTCTGTGATTACACACCTCTGTAGCCAGAGGGCATTCTTTAAGGCATGCATATTCTTCCATTAACGACTGAGGTTTTTGTTCTTTTTAAACCATCCCTCACAACTAGGATGATTTTTTACTTTCTTTTAAATACCCTTACAATTAGCTGCATAGTTTCACGGATGGGAGTTAAAGGCCAAATTATTGGTTATTTCCTTCCTGGCTTTTCTCCCCCAATTTCAGGTGTTCGCAGAGAAGATATAAGGGCCTAGCAAAAATTCCCCTCATAGGTCCCCTGGGTGGCTCAATCGGTTAAGCGTTTGGCTTTGGCTCAGGTCATGATCCCAGGGACCTGGGATTGAATCCCACTTTGGGCTCCCTGCTTGGCAGGAAACCTGCTTCTCCCTTTCCCACTCCTGCTTGTGTTCCCTTTCTTGCTGTCTCTCTCTCTGTGTCAAATAAATAAATAAAATTGTTAGAAAAAAAATTATTCTCATATTAACAGATAATAGTGGCAAGAAAATGGATTCCCTCTCCTCTTTTTTTTAGAAGCTGAGGTTTTAATCTTGATACCCAGGGGCAGGTGGATAGATGCTTCCCCATATATCAGAGGAGGAATTCTGTGCCTTTGCTTTCCTAGGGAAGCAACAGAAACCCAGTTCTTGGATTTCCTGGTAGGTGGTGAGGAGTTTGCTGGCCCTACATTCAGTACTACTGTGCACGAGACCCCCAGATTGGGGATCATGGCCTGGGGGCTTGCTGAGGTAAGAACCACTGGGCCTCCTCAACTCAAGAGAAAGTAGGCTTGAAAGAAGAGAGTCATATAGATGGAGATGAGGAAAGATACTTTGTTGTAGGAAAACATGAGCCTCCAGGCACAAAGGAAACATTTGAGCTGATGGAAGTCTCTATCGCCTTGGAAGAAAGGGCACCTGTTGTGGAATCCCAGTCCCAAACCCAAAGAGAGGGCAAAGTGGGGAGCAGGAACAAAGAAGAATAGGAGAGAGAACGCAACCAGGCCAGGGCGGGCCTTCGGGGAGAGGAAAGCAAGTGCTTGAGGCTGTGTGAAAAGCATACAGTATGGGGGTCCTCAGTGCTAAGATGTGGTTAAACCAAATGAAATTTAAAAAAAAAAAAAGTAGAGGAAAATGGCCACGTTGTTATGAGACACATTCACTTAATGAACATACCTGCACTGAATACTTAGTTCACGGATTTCAGGCAATTAAAAAACACTAAAATGCACGTCGCAGAGCAAGATTCCCTGTCTTTTTCCTTAATAGGGTGATTATTATCGTTACTATTATTTTAAAGATAACCCATGGTGGAAGCCCATAGCTTTGCCAGCAAAAACACCGTCCTGCCATCGCGGAAAGTATGTTACAATTTGTGGCTATGAGCCGGGCATTTGACATGGAGTGGTGTTCTGTTTCAACCCAATTTAATTATATGCTCCTTTTAGATATCGTGGATGGCTCGCACTAGCAGAATTGTTTTGCCTGGTGAAAAACTGGCCATGACTTGTCATAATGGGCTGGTTTATAGAACCACTGAAGTATAGTTACTGCCCATCAGTCGGGAGTTATGGCACCATAACAACCCTTTATTTACATATACTGCTGAGACAGTAAAAACAGCAAATAGATTTCTTAAATCGAGACAGCAGAAATTTCCCCCCAGGGCACTTGGCCCTCATTGTGGCAGCAACATATGCAAGTCTAAATAACTTTGGTGTCTGTATTTCGGCAGTGTATCATTTCATGGACAGTTTATAACATTCTAATAATAAAATGGGCTCTAAATTCGGAGTTGGGCTTCACGAACATTAGATGGCAATGCGCACAGCAGAATCTCTAAGTGATTTGTGAGGAAGGTTTAAATTTGCTAATCACACTACTGCTGAGAGACTCTGCAAAGGGGCTCAAGTGTGATCAGCGGCTGTTGGGAGGCAGCAGAGGTTTCAACCAGGGGAGTGCCTGACCTAGTTTATGTCAGCACAGGAACCGCATCTGGGGAAGTCAGGGATTCTTTTACTTCCAGACTCCCAGGACTTAGATGATCTTGGCCTTTCCCTCAAACAGCAGAAGCCCTCCATTCCCTTCCTCCGCTTTTGTCGTCTCTCCTGTTCTTTCTTTCTTCTTCGTGATATATGCTTGGGGAAAAAATTTATTGCGGTAGAGCCTCGCGCCTTCACTGTTTATCTGTCCTGAGATTCCCTGTAAAATGCCCTCTCTTTAGTCCTGTCCTTCTACCCCTTTACAGAGCAGTCCCTGGATTTATTTTTAATGTGCACGTTTTAAAAGCATTCTCCAAAGCATCTCCACTCTCTTTCCATTCCTGGAGTCGTGGCTTTAACCCTCCCCTCCCTTTCTAGTGAAGTTCCATGTCTGGGTGACAAAGGATCGCGTGGGGATGTCATGATTCAGACTCTGCCACCAATCATTCTGCAGTGACGCCCACGTGGCTCAAGAGCGCTGATACCTCAAAGAGGGTCCTATTCCTCCCCAGGCCTGGAAGGGTGTGGGGGGACGGGGGCGGGCCCCATGACAGCATCTCTGGACCCGAGGTCACCGCCCTGCGCCTGTAGCTTGCTGAGAAAGGACCAGTGACACGGACACTTCTCAAGCTCCGGGACCTTCCTAAAGGAAGCCAGGCCAGTGCTGAGTGGGAGAGCACTTGAATGGGGGACGCCTGTAAAAGCCAGTCCCTCGCAGGTCGATCAGGCCCCTCTGCCTCCCCCACCCCCACTGCCCCTACCTTCTCTACCCCATCCCCCCACCACCCCCAACCTCCCACCCCTGCCTGGTGCGGAGCGAGCGGAGCGCGGTGCACTCACCTCCGGAGGGCAGGCCGGCGCAGCTGCCCCCATGCTGGCACGGGCTGCGCTCACAGGCATCGGGGTAGAGCACGCAGCCCAGCTTCAGCTCGGTCAGGCCCACCACCTCCGCGAAGCTGCTGCGCTTGTTCTGTAGCGGAAGCTCGTTGTTGTTCAGCACCACCGAGTCCAGGCAGCCCTGGAAGCCGCTCAGCACCTGCGTGACCCGCGCGTCCGTCAGGCTGCGGATGTTATCCGCCTGCACCAGCGCCCCGAAGTAGATGGTGCTTTCCGTGCTCAGCGTCTGGAAGTAGAGGGGTGCCCTGCGCCGCTCCACATAGCTGTCGTCCAGGGACAGGCTTGTGAAATTGCGGTTGAGCTCCAGGAAGACGGAGTGCCAGCTCCCATCATTGACCGCCCTGCCGGAGATGCCCAGGATCCCAGGGCCATTGCCGCAGTCCAGCTGGAACCACAGCTTGCCGTCCACGATCTGTGTGGGGGAATGAGCACCGGGAGCTTTTCAGTATGCATCTGGCAACAGACTCCTGGACACCCCCGTTCCCACCCTGTCCACGGGAAGCCTCTAGGATGGAGGTGGCTTTGGGGCCAGTCCTAAGTCTGCGGTGGTTTGATCTCTCCCCATGATGTGCTGTACGCATGCCTGAAATGTCCCAGATCTTGCAAGGAGTAACACCAGCACATCTGCATAGATCTGCCGTTAAATTTAAGAATGTTCCTATTCTTTGGATCTGTGCCCTTTAAGAGGTCACAGCAATATCTTGTTGAGAGGGTCTGTTGATTCTCTGCATCCTTCTTTGTTATTACCACCACAGGAATGATTTCTGTGAACTCAATATTTATTTACAAATATTGATTGAACATCTACTATGTCCTAAGCAGTGTTCCAGGTGCTACGGAGACCACTCTGAGCAAAAAGAGTTACTATCTCTGACCTCAGGGGCTTATGTTTCTTTGCGGGGGAGATGGCCATAAGTCAGATAAGCACTGAAATAACTAGGTACTCCACAAGCAAGTCTGTGTGAAGTTTCTAGAAGGGAGAAAAAGAGGCCAGGCAGAAATAAAAGATCTCCTAATTCCCGGCTTCATACATAGTCAAGATTTTAGAATGCTTCTATATTAAACACTCGTATATTCTTAAAACAGTTCTTTAGGGGACGCCTGGGTGGCTCAGTTGATTAGGCAGCTGCCTTCGGCTTGGGTCATGATCCTGGGGTCCTGGGATCGAGTCCCACATTGGGCTCCCTGATCAGTGGAGCCTGTTTCTCCCTCTCCCTCTGCCTGCTGCTCCCTCTGCTTGTGCTCTCTCTCTCTGTCAAATAAATAAATAAAATCTTAAAAACAAACAAACAAACAAACAAACAAACAAACGGTTCTTTAAGATGGCTGCCCATCATTTAGGTTAAGATTATCCCACAAAGTTCAGGGCTTGGCTGTTTGCTTAGAATATAGCAATGTGTGTTTAATGATATCTGGTCCCCCAGAAGGGTTTATCTGGGTAACAGTTCACGCCTCATCGATGCTCCCAGCCCCTGGTCCAGGGTCAGCTACAACAGAGACCCGCCTACTTTGATTGCACTGGTGCAAGGAGGGCATCCAAGTCCGTTCTGGGAGGCTAACAAACCACAGGGGGACATTAAACTCAGAAAGTGTGTGCTGTTGAGTGATGGCAGCCGGCCAGGACCTGTTGGCCAGGGACCGGTCCTCCATGGAGACCCAGGTTCAACTGTTGCTGAGGAGAAGGACTGGCCTTTGAATCCCCTGGGGTCCACCCTCCCCTCTGCATTTCCTAGAAACACAAAGTGGCTTGAGGATCCAGGGAATGATGCTGGATCCCTGACCTGCCAACAAACCGATACTGGGCCATGAAACGACATGCAGCTAGAGACTGTGAAGAAACAAAAGGTACTTTGCAGGCCTTTTTGTGTGACCCAGCAAGGGGGTCTCGTGGGGACCAACATCTGAGTCATGCAAGGCTGACAGGCCTTCATTTAGAATCTGCTGACATCAGTATTCCCGTGCCAGAGTGTGGGCAAAGAACACAGAACACGTGGGGAGAGAGGGAAGGGGAAGTGAAGGGAAGGCAGACCTTCCAGATCTCGAAGAGCGAGGGAGGTATACACGCCAAACGAATTCATAGAAACAGACTGACCCACTCTTCCCAACACATGCTTGATTTAGGACAGCCTAATGGGGATTTTTCGCAGTATCGCTCATCCTCACGAGTGAAGTATTTCTCTCCATGTGCTTCAGTGTGTTCCACAGACAACGAATTCTCAGGGACTCACATTTCTGCCTCTGTGGATTCTCTAGCCCCTTCTCTTCCTGCATATAAAGTCATGCCGTGGGAACGTGCATATATGGAAGGCAGGGGGCTGTGCGAACCAGGCAGAGCCCTGGGAAGTATGAATGAGGTCTCTCACGCAGGATTTGTCGTGTCGCACCCAGGTGACCTGGAGAGAACTGTTTGACCTGTCTGGGCTTGGGACCCCTTATGTGGTGAGCAGAGATCGTTGCTATGGCTCCTTTTCTGAGGAGCCCGTGCCTGCTGCAGAATGGTTAGTTACCTGGTACGCAGTGCACACATACTCCACTCTGAAATGCAGTTGTTTACACGTGAAGAGACCGGAGGCAAATATTTGTGTGTTTTTTCCTAGAGCTTTCCTATGTGATCTACGCTGTTTTGCCTCGAACATTTTTTGGTTCCACAAAATGGACTGAATGGATATTGTAAATCATACCAGTAGACTTGCTCAGGAAAAACTCCTGGGTAATATCCATATTTTTATTTCAATGTAAGTAATAAAATGATCAAATGCGATGTTGGGGACTTCCTTCCTCTGGCACAGTCCATCTGCTGTTACGCTCTGTGGCTACAAAGGGGTGTCCCCAGACTATCAAGGAAGATCTGATGGTGAAGCTGCGATTCATCGATGGTTTTGTAAGATGATGTATTCCATTAACAGATTTCCTCGGTCCATTCCCTTCTCCATCCCCACTCCCTACCTCTTGGGATAATAACCAAGTAGCAAATTCATCCTGGAGAGCCAGTGTAGCTCTAATGTACTCACATACATCGAAGTTCTGTAACTAACGGACATAAAATGATCCCATAGGAACAGTGAGTACGGTTCCATTTCTTTTCTGCTAAGAAAAGTAACAGCAGCAACCTGCTGAATGATTGGGAAGCCTGATGCCCTTGGAAAACAAGAGTGATTAGTTCCTCAAAATTCTAGGCATTTGGAATTATAAGGCTTGTTTAGGTGACACGCCAGAGTGCTGATGTCAGAGGTAACTTTGTAAACGTTCACCTTTTCCTATGTCACAAGCCTATTACGCCAGGGAGGGAACGCTAGTCTGTTCACACTGGGAACTCACGCTCTGATCATATTTAGTTTTTCTCTGTCTCCAGAATAGGGTAGACCTCATTCGAAAGGATCTCTATTTTAAGAGGACAGAGCCTTCTCAAGCCAGACAGCAAGCTATTTTATAGAAATTGTATTGCAGGTGAACGTATTAAAAAAAAAAAAAAGTCTGCAGCAATGATCTGAAATGATGTGCTTGCAGGAGGCAGGTAGGCAATTCGGTCAATGAAATGCATAATTCTGAGCAGGACTCTAATGTTATAAGATATTTAGGTCCTTAGCTTTTTTTTTTTTTTTAAAGATTTTATTTATTTATTTGACAGACATCACAAGTAGGCAGAGAGGCAGGCAGAGAGAGAGAGAGGAGGAAGCAGGTCCCTTGCAGAGCAGAGAGCCCGATGTGGGGCTCGATCCCAGGACCCTGGGATCATGACCTGAGCCAAAGGCAGAGGCTTTAACCCACTGAGCCACCCAGGCGCCCTAGGTCCTTAGTTTTGTCTGAAATCAGTGATGGACTTTAACCTGGATCTTGAGTGGTTTGGGGCTTGGAAGACAAGACATCAGGGCTCTAAGTCATTTTGTAGGAAAGCAGGATTTTGAGTGAAAAAGTATATAAATCATGGCACAAAGTCTTACTGCTTCGAATCTTTGGTGTGTGGCTCCAGCAAAGGCACTGATGCCCCAAACTTGTGAGAGGGTTCGGAACTATTCTTTGTGAAGGGAACTTTTGAAAAACCTGTTTTCAAGGCTGTCATCGATGGTTATCTGGCTCAAAAAATATGCCTTAAGGATGTGCCTGAGTGGCTCAGTTGTTTAAGGGTCTACCTTTTGCTCAGGTCATGATCTCAAGGTCCTGGGATTGAGCCCTGCATCAGGCTCCCTGCTCAGTGGGGAGTCTGCTTCTCCCTCTCCCTCTGCCCCTACATCTCTTGCTCTCTCAAATAAGTAAATCAAATCTTTAAAAAAATACCTCATCATATGTTTTCACTCATATGTGGAACATAAGGAAGAGCGTGGAGGACCACAGGGGAAGGGAGAGAAAACCGAATGGGAAGAAATCAGAGAGGGAGACAAACCATGAGAGACTCTAGACTCTGGGGAAACAAACTGAGGGTTACAGAAGGGAGGGGTGGGGGAGGATGGGGTAACCAGGTGATGGGTATTAAGGAGGGTACGGGTGGTTATGAGCACTGAGTGTTACACGCAACTGATGAATCTTGAATGCTACATCAAAAACTAATGATGTACTATATGCAGGCTAATTGAACATAAAAAAAAGCTTATATGAATGAATAAATGATCATCCCAGCCCTCCCAAACTCTTCTTTTGATAAACACCTGCAGTACTCCTGACCCGCTTGCCCTGGTCAGAAGGTCAGATCCACTCCTGACTGGTTATGTTTGGGTAAGCCCACCCATTTTCTCTCTGAAACTGTTTCCTCACAGGCGAAAAAGGACGGGCTCCTATCTAGGCACAGGAGAGTACAAAAATACATGCACGTATTTTGTGAAGTACTTTGTAAACTTATAGGTATCTTATTATTATCATCCTGTAATTGTTATTAGTTAACTCACTTCTTAGTGATACTCTTACACAGGTCCTGGAAACTCTGGAATCCTGTGTGGGCTTCCTTGTTACTTTTCTATGTTAGAAAGATCCGGCCATTCCAAGTGGGGTGTTTTATAAACCAAATGAGCTTTCCCTGACCATCTTCCTTTTATTCCTGGGGTTTTGAGTTAGCTGTATTGGAGAATCATCGAAATGAAACCATGTGTCATCTATAACTTCCCCACAAGATGAAATGATGACATTTCTAGATTAACAAACAAGGACTTCTTGTGCTTTCACTATAATATTGGACCCAAAAGACGGATACAGGGGGAAAAGCTGTAAATCTCTCCTGGTGATCTGACAGGTTTCTTACACAGGTTTGAGAACAGGCAGAGAACCTATTGCACCATTTTTATTCTTGTTTGGGCTTCCTGAAAATTCACTCATGGTTTGTGTTCAACTGATATAGCAACCCTCGGTCTAGATTTTTTAACAATGATATTCTGCTCTTCTCCACTTCATTGGCTGGCTCTTAACCTTTTATTTTCATCTTAATGGTGCTCTGATCTTACTGCATTTTGGTGTTTATGGTAAGCCTGGGATCTCTTCTGGAAGAAGACAAAGTGTCAATGGTCAACAGAAGAATGAGCACCTTCACTGCTGTTGAGAGAGAGTGGTGCTCCTTGTCCACGAGCATTTTTAACCCTTGAGGTCCCACGCAATTCTTCGACGGTCTTCAAGGGGTGGCCTACACCCCCATGGATTGTCTCAAGTACTTTTTAGAGAACGGGCTCTAACTGGGAAAGTATAAACAACCACGAGGTGCAACCTAAACAAAGCATTTCAGTATAGTCGTTGAACCTGAGTACAAGGCACATACTGTACCTAAAGCCAATGAAATTAAATCTTGCATGAGGCTGGAAATGTTAAGCAAACAGATTCAAATCCCCTAAGTGGATATTCCTGGCAACTGTAGGAGAATATCTGCTGTAGTTCGGTACAGCTGTGTCCTGCTTTAGGCAAACTCAAATTTGAAAAGCAAACGTACCCAACAGACAGATTGGGGGTGATTATTCACATCACAAAGGGATTAATGGAAGGGTTCCTTCAAATAGCCACCATCCACCGTTTATTAGAATTCCATTTACAGAGATTCAATTTACACAACTCTCAGAAACACGCTTGTTTCGTGAAATACAATATACCTTAGGAGCCAGAGCTGCCTAAAAGGTTTAATTATTCTTCTTTCCCATCCCCAGGGACCTGTGCGTTTTAGACCTTTGCCAACGAAGTGTCAAATGACAAGCTCCGTTTTTAAGATCTGGCCATTCAGGCCCAGTAGTTTTGTTCGCTCTCAGATTTAGTGCTCTAGAAGAGATCTGCTAGTAGGAAGTGTCTGCCTCATAAGGAAGGTCTGCAAGCCAGAGGTCCTATTAAGAGCTTGAAGGAGACGGAGGCCGGCGACACTTCAGCTGAGCTCTTGGAGCTAGAAGCTCTGAAGGGCCAGAACCCTTCCCCAGCAAGTATACCAAACCCCACCTCCCAGGGCTATTTAGAAAGTGATCTGCTGACCCAAGGCAGGCGGCTTCGGGGCTAGGAGGTTAAAAAGACAGGACTTGGGTTTTTGCCTGTGTCTTCCTCCACCACAAATATTGGATTTGAATTCACTGTTTGCTAAAACTGCCTTGAGAGCTTCTCCTATTGGCTTTCCGAGAGCTGAAAGGATTCTCTGAGTTCAAAGAGTGCGGGTAGTGGGAGAGTTCCCCATGAAAGTTTTAAACCCAAACTGCCCGCTCCCTCCCTCTGGCCACCACGTAGTGCCCTGCAATATCAGAAGCAGGTGAATAAAAGTCGGTGTGATAGGAGAAGCCACAGGCATTTATTGTCCTACATTCTTTCTCCCTCTGGGATGAAAGCCTGGGATACCTCATCGACTTGGATGTGACCAAGCTAACGATCAAAGGACAGAAGCTCTAAAGGCCCACCATGATCCCGATTAAGCCCAGTGATGGAACCCTAGGAAGGAAACAATTGCCAGTCATTTCCACTTGTATGGGCACTTCCTACCAGTCAGACTGCACTGGCCTCTGAACACACAATGGACTGGTACAGGGACCTTGCGAGAATGGGAGAACAGCATCAGATTAAACATGGCCCTCCTTCTTCTTCCTTCTCCTCCTGTGCTGGAAGGCTTCCTTGGGCGGACAGATGCCCAGAATGTGACTTCTGATGAAATGATGGTAACAGCAAGACTGAGAGCTGGGGGAGATCAGGCAGGAGAGCAGCATATACAGTGAGGGAGACTGGAATGCAGGTCCGGGCCCGGGCGCTTATGAGCTGGCTGACCCTGGGTAACGAACTTAACCTTTCTGAATCTCTGTTCTCTCCTTGATCAGATGGGGCTGATTGTGTGTCATAAATGTATCATATTAACTTAGTCATAAAAAACAAACAAGGGGCACAGCACCGTTAGTATTCGTGTTGTCATTGGTTTCACGAAGGCACCAGAAGCTCTGAGCCAGAGACTTGCTCTCAGGGAGATCTGGCTGCTTTGGAGCGTTTCTGAGATTGGCAAGGATTGCAGCAGTGGACAACTGGGGGCCACGACAGGACGCAGGGAACCTCCTCCACCCTAGATCTCCAACTTCCTCCCTGAGTAAGAACAGAAGTCACCTTCAGGGTCAGTGGGGGATAGGCCCATGCGGGAGAAGAGGACACGGCCAATCTTTTTAAAGGACCACCCCTGCCGTGGAATTGATTAGGAAGTGCATTCTAATGAACTGTGGCGTGATTACAGCTCCAAGGAGGGCAGCCCTTGAAACCACTCTAGAGAGAGAGATGCCCCAATATCCGAAGAGCCTATTCTGAAGCTGAATGTATAAAAAGGAAATGGGGTGTTGGCGCACTTCCCAGGACCGCGGCTGCTCCTCTCTGCCCTCCAGCCAGTTTCTGGTCTTCAGAACTTAAAAGACAAAAAAGATTTCAGGCCCCAGTCCGAGAGCCAAAATATTAACATGAGAACTGACTGCAGGAAAAGATAACCCATTTTAATTACCTTCAGAATTATGCAGGGATTTGCTCTGGTGTACATTATAATCCCGTTGCTTTGCAGGGTGCGCAGACGCAGAGCGAGCCGGAAGTCCTCTTCTTTGCTATTTTCAGACAGCCGGTATTTGATGTAACTGTTTCCAGCAAAGCTGAGAGAAGTGTGCCCTGAGAAGACCATTAGGAGAAGACATATATACTGGCAACATCCAGACACGGTCAGAGACACAAGAGATCACCCAACAACCACCAAGCATGTTGATGAAAGACCGTGGGAAGTTAATGAAGGCATTGAGGAGAAGCCGCTTTTGATTAAAAACGGGTTCTCTCCACTTCAGGTCACAGCCTAATTCCAAAGTGGAAAAAGAAAAAATTAATTCATCAGCTACCAAAAAAAAAAAAAAAAAAAAAAGTCCCAGTGGTCTCATGCCAAGGGAAAGTTGATGAATTCTGTAACCTGATTTCTCTTAGAGTCTCAATGCCCACTTTCTAAATTTAGCACTATTCATAGATAATGCCCTTCCTGCCCACCACCAGCCACTCAGACACTCAAAAACTTGCCACTCCATGAAACAAGGGAAAGATAAGGCCATTTGCAAAGAGCAGCCACCTTCCCGAGTGTCTTAATGCCAAACAGCCAACTGATGTCATTTGCGCTAATGTTGGAAGAAGGAAGTTCATGTCTTGCTCATGTGTCATCACAGTTCTACTTTTTGACCGTGAATTTCAAGGCTAGCCCTTCGACATCCAAAGTCCTACCCATGCCATCCCATTCTGAGTTCACCCTCTTTTGTACTGACTTCAACTTTATGTTCTGATGAGCAAAATGATGCTGAAAAGCTGTCTTGCTGGGGTGAGAGTTGGCAAGTGTGAAAATACATCTAATGGATGAAAATCATGGACAATCACAAGTTTTCTACATAGAAAAGAGAAGGAAGATGGGCAGAAAGTGACATCGGAAGTCAGGAGACGTGCTGGCTTTCTTGTCACCCCTACATACCCACCTGCTGTGTGCCCAGGGTATGTGTAGGGATGGGGTCAGCCTAAGTTTCTTTCATCTCTGAGCCCTAGAGGACTTCAAAGGCAAGTATGCTGGTGATCTCTTCACTTTGCGGGCAGCTCTGTTCCTGACATCACCTATGAAAGAGCTTTGGCTCCCATACTTGAGAACAGTTCTTTCTCTTTGCAGAGACTGAATTTCTAGAGCCCATGGCTTAGGAAAATGCCTTGCATGTAGCAGGCATCACTGTTCTGTATTCCCCCTCTAATTGCTATTATAATCACCACTTCATAAATATTTCTTGTATTCCAAGAAGGGTATCAGTGTAACTGTATTTTACATAGACTTTCTACCAAAAAGAGTCCTACTGGTACCAAAAATGAATACTCCTAGAGTTTAGATGTGATAGGGAATATGCAAATCAACTGAAGTATTGGGATTGAGAGAGGATCAGAAACAGGATATTTGGATCAAAATAACATAAATACGTTTCTTTCTTTCCTTCTCTCTTTTTCTTTTTTTCCTTTAGGACACAGAGGTGAGCACCTGCCCTTTCGGGAACACGGAGCAGAGAGTCCGCTCCCTTGGTGATCTAGGCTGGGCTTACCCCATGGGAGGTCAACTGCACTGGGTCAACTGTACCTCCTGGCGAGCTCTGCTTTGGGGCTCTGGCTCTGCAGCCATCTGACCATCAAAGGCCGTGCAGTGGATACTCTGACCCTCTGCCTAACCCACGGCTTTCTATTTTCCATTTTACACTCTTAACGTCTGTGCAACACCATCGGAAACACATGTTGTGGTCTTCTTGTTATACGAGGAGCCCATGGTCGTTGCGTGTTTCCTGAGCACAAGCTGAAGCTGGACTAAATCCCAAGTACAGGGAGGGCAGATGTTATCTGGGGGCCATCCTGACAGTGAATGTTGCATGCAGACAGAAGAGCTGAAGAGCTCTGAAGAGCTAGGGCAGAGTCATTTACTCAAGGGCAAGTGCTTCAGATTTAATAATTCCACCCCCTCTGCACCTGAGCACTCTCCGAGCTTCCCTGGTGGACACTGGCAGAGGTACGGTCTCCTGCTGGCTTCGTAACCAACACACTGCATGTCCCCCGGACATGGCTTCTCCATGCAAGGATCGTTGGACCCCGGGCACAGTCCTCCTGTGACGAAAGGGAACACACATGATCAGTACGGAGGGAATCACCTCACATCCTAGGCGGTACTGGGATGGTTCCAGAGCTGGGCTCTATAGGCTCTGGGCTAAGAGACAAAGAAGCCACCCAGAAGTGAGAGCACCCGAATGGGCGTCAGCTGCTGTGAGTGCCCATCCAACGTCCCTGCATCAGCCAAGAGCTCACAGACAGCCTGAAGTAGGTTGGCCTCGAAGAATAAATGGAACTCTTCCTTTTCGGTTCAGATATGCTAAGGTTGTAACTGGACCAGCATCAGCTGAGAAAAGGGCACACTGCACGGGCTCTGGACGCATTTATTAGAGCGGGGTTCTGCTCACGGGGAACTACCCGAATGCATGGCTGGAGTTTCCAGTTGTCCTACACCGTTTTTCTTTCCTGCCCTGAAAAAACTTCAGGGGACTCTTCGGAGGATGTTGGCTATTGTTTTCAGAGGGGAGAGAAAAAGGTGTTTCTAAGGAAAAGTATGACTAATTCTAAATCGGGCAAACACAATTCCCACTGTTTCCTAATCCCTTCTGCTACCTGCTTTTGTATTGATTTGAGATAAAGGTACCCCACCGTCTATCAAAAACAGTCGAATTATCGCTGGCAAAAGCAAGTTTTCTTGCTACCTGTTCGATGCTCAGAGCACAGTGAGATGGAAGGTTAATCCCTCAGAAAGAAAAGCCTGGAAAGCAGATTAGCCGATGAAGGCAAAATCCAGGACCCAAGTAAGTCATTTCTGAACTGCGGTGAGGATAAATGGGGAGTCCACCGGAGGAAGGGCACGTTTCAGAAGTCTCGGATATTTCAAACGAGTAGGTCGTATTCCATGTAGTGAGAGTTTAGGCAGTAAAAGGACGGTAGGAAAGGAGACAGGAACGAAAAATTGCTCGGAACTGGGTTAGCAGTGGCCTAAAGCGGCACCTTCTCTATGAACCACAAATGCCCGGACCTCAGCAGCTTACTTCCTTGGGAGGAAGTGACCCATTGCCAAACTCCCGTCCATCCTCCTTCTTTCTCGTCATTAAGCATATTGTCCCCTTATACAGTCATTTCTTTGTCCAGGAGAAAGCAGACATTTAATGCTAACTACATATAAACTTTTAAAAACTGTAATCCTCGAGAAGAGCAGTATAAGTAGCTCCAGCAAACTCAGAATTCATAAATCCTATTTTCCACCGGTTTAGTGCTCAGCCATAAAAGATACTCCTGGCAATGATCCAGCTTACAAAGTCTTAGAAGATGAAGGGATTTGCAACTGAAAATTTGGAATGATCTCTACAAATGGTTCTAAAAGACATAAGTGCCCTCAAATACATCTTCCTATTTTCATCCCAAGAAATCTTTACTCCTGCCCTGTATTTATCAATATTTATGCAGCTTCAAACAGCTGTTCTACCACCTTACGATCTGCTTCAAAGGGCTTTGGATAACCACTTTTAAAATGATTTTTGGTGCATTCATTCAGCAAATAATTTTTTTAGGGCCAAAGAAGTGAGAAGCCTGGACATGTAGATTATTTATTTCTTTCTTTGGAAGAAAGAGAAAGAGAGAGAGAGAGCCCCTGCCACGGGGCTCGATCCCAGGGCCCCGAGAACATGACCTGAGCTGAAGGCCAACACTTACCCAACTGAACCACCTAGGTGCCTGAAGCCTGGACGTACAAAGATGAAAGGAAACAATGCCATCTCTTCCCTCCTCCAGGAAACAAGCAGCAAACACATGAAGACAATGCAATAAGGTAACTGCCCTGATAGAAGTCTGGGAGTGCAACCAGAGAAGGGACAACTGTGTTTCCTGGGAGAATGTCAGAGGTCCTCACCAAAGAAGGGAGCGTTTTAAAATTCAGGCTTGAAGAATGAGATCCTTTGAGGAAAAAGGGGCTGTGTTCCATGGGAATGAGCCAGCCATAGCCCGTGGCTTGACTGCTTGCGTGTGTTAATGCTCATTCATGAAGAGTTCATAACTCTGCCAGCTGACTCTTTGCTGTCCCCATACATGGCTTCATTTCAGTTTTGGGTGGCCCTGCGCACTTCCAGGTTGCTCCTAAATGTGGACTCGGTAGTATATGCTCAAAGATGCTACCTCAGCCCAACGCTAACCTTGGCCACATGGAGGCGACCATGTGCATAGATGAATCACAAAATGGATCTCATCCAATAGATGTAATTCTGAATTACCTGGGCATTGTCTTCCAGATGGACACAGAAACAGTAATTTACATAGTTAAGAAATCCATTTCTTCCCATTCCATAGACATGACTCTTTCCATTTCCTACTTTTGCCCACTGACGGATAGCTTTCTCTACATTTCTATGTTTCTGAGACACAGAAGCATAGACCCCATTTCTGCTCTAGTGCAAGTCTCCACTGCTAAGAAACCGTGCATTATCAAAAGTCCCATTTAAAAGCCATTATTTCAGAGGGGGAAGAGAGGGCTGGATGATTTCAGACCCATGACAGGAAAGCTGTTTTCTCCTGCAGGAATTATGGTGAGATTAAAACAAACAAACAAACAGCTATAAGCATGTATAATAAAAACTAAACAAAATATTTCGTATTAAAACTGGATTTGAGTACTTCTCCCTTTTATCCACATTTTTTTTTTTTTTGCCTCTTCTCTTACCATCAGCCCTGCCCTGGTAGCTGGCACAGGCTTCTTACTCTGTCACCATCTCTCTTATCTTGGGGTAAAGCCAAAGCCACTCAGAACAGCAGCTGGGGTTCAAACTCACAGCTTTTTCTTCTCTCGTGTTATAACCGTGGAACCCATATAATTACATCCACTAAATTAATGGATTATGTAAGATTCAGTGCCCATTATAAAAACTCTAGCTGGAGGATATGTAAAAAAATTACATTAAAGTATTATAATATGTGCATTTAAAAAGTAATAACATTAATATACATATTAGATACATAGTATATATCTATTCATTCTAGCAGCCATTGACTTCAATAGGCTCTTTTTTTTTCTTTTTTTTTAATAGGCTTTTTAAGGCAAAGGGGACAGTTCTTGGCAAGTGAACTATCTCTTGATGCATTAAAAATCCTCCCGGGCCTCCCCCCTGCCAAGTCCCAGCCCGGGCCGGGAGCAGTCGTAAACATTCGGACTCCAGCTGCTGCTGTCAGCTTACTCTGCTCACAGTTGGTCTGCTCTCCTGTGGCTCAAAAGAGCAGGAAGGCAGATTAGAAGTCTGGAGGTTGGTGTAAAACGTAATGTCCTCCTTAGCTGGGGACAGATGTGAGCACGTGCGCAAAAGGAGGTCTACTCCGAATAGAGACTTCTGGCTACAAAAAACAGTTCTCCCCGAACTGAATAATCCCCATGTACAATATTGTAGTTCTTCCCTCCCTATCAATTAGGATAAGGCATTAGGTCCTTTCTGACATGTACGTTGTCAGAGGGACTTGACCTTTGTACGCCAATGCTGAACACTGTCATGTGTCCCTCGACTTCAGGTATACCCAGATATTTGGGTCCCGGGGACACTTTCCTGGGGATAATAAGCCTCTCTTCAGCCAAAGCCCTACCTTCTCCAGCAACATGGAACCCATGTTTAATTCCCTGGATTTACGTGGATGCTGATGGGTCACCTTGTTTTTAGAAATCCCATGTTTATTCCATTCCCCTCTCATGGAAATATAGACACTATTGTGAGTCCAAAAGACCCTCTTTCTGGTAGCACTCGGTGCCTTATCATAGTAATAGTTATGAGACAGCAGGGTCAGGACCCATTGGCCTCTGGGAGGAAGTTTATCTTATTAACTGTCATTAAATAATCCAGGTTTAATTAACTTGTGCTGTGATCGGTGACAGCTGGGGGAGGGGAACTCTCTAGACCTACACATTCTGCATCTCCGGGCATCCATCAGTTTGGAGCCAGAGTGAGTGTGAAGGGAGAAGGGGGTCACTTGATCAAACCAACTGAGGCTGGTTTGCTGCAGTGGGACAGAAGGACGGGATGTTTCGCCACTCTGAGAACACGCAGCAGGCAGAGAACTCTCTGCTCCCCATGCCCAGGTCCCCTCAAGAAGCCAGCACAGTGCAACAGGACAGGATCTGCAGTGCGAGCAGCGGGCTGGATCTTGGCTCTGACTAGTCATGCCACTTACTCATTCACTGTGTGGCTCTGAACAGGTCACTTGACTTCTGAGAGTCTCGATCCCCTTTTCTGAAAAACGAAGCTAATAATTGTTCATAGAGTTGTGAGGATTAAATGGGTGTAAAATGTGTGTGTATGTGAAGGCAATTTTTATTCTACTTTTTAAAGATTTTATTTATTATTTATGTGTTTGTCTGTGTGTGTGTGTGTGTGTGTGTAGGAGAGACAGAGAGAGATACTGCTGACACAGGCAGAGGCAGAGGGAGAAGCAGGCTCCTCGTTGAGCAGGGAGCCTGATGCAGGCCTCGATCCCAGGACCCTGGGATCATGACAAGCTGAAGGCAGACGCTTAACCGACTGAACCACCCAGGAATCCCATGAAGGCAATTTTTTTAAAGGGAAAAACTTAAAGTAAAAACAAATTAGTAGAAGGTCTCAAAACTGGAGATGCTAGTTGGATTCAGCCCCATGGCAGAAACCTGAACTCAAATGTCATCTTTCTCTTGCTGTCTTTTTTGGGTCAAATTCATGATTTGTAAATTGATAGATGATATGAAATACTGTGTACCTGGGACGTACAAGCTAAGGCCTGGAGCATTTTATTAGTCAGCGTCCCAGGCCACTGTGGGGGTCAGGCCCTTGGCCACCTTGTCTAAGGCAGAGGTGGCCTTGTATGCAGCCTTGGACAAGAGAAAGGTGCAGAGGATGTGGCTACTATCCAAAAGAAGGTTTCCACGTTCTAAAGCATTGCTCAGGTGGAAATTTAGGTCACTTTTCACAGAGCTGACAATGTTTAATTCCCTGGAGCAGAAACTTCAGAGCTTTGGAAACTGCCCAGAGAATCGGGATTCTCTGGGGGTCTTGGAGGTTCTCGCTGCC